AATTACACTCAATAAAAATACTTCTCACTACCGAGGATCTTGGCAACTGCTCTGGCGCGGTAACAGCGTACACGCGCCCCTGTGGCCTCTGATCAACCTGCTCGTCCCTCGAAGCATATGCCGGTTGAACCGACTAAGTCGAAGCGGCTCTCTGATGTACTCGTGAAGTCTGAGCTGAGTGAGCCTGTTGGTGGCTCTGAGTCTGCCTCGACCCCGATGCGGCAGATGCACCTCCCAACTGCGGGCAAGCCCTCTTCATGTGCCCTGACTAACCGCACTGGTAGCAAGTAAGCCCCTGACCCCTACTCTGAGACTGACTCTGAGATCGGTTAGATGGTGGTGGTGGCAACATCTGTTGTCTTCCTCCCTTCTGTGGACATGCAAAGGCTTTGTGACCTAGTTGGCCACACTTGAAGTAAGAAAACCCACTCGATGCACTCTTTCTCGGGCCCGCACTAGGCAAGGGGAAAGTAGATCTAGACTATTGCGGCTGGGACTGGGATGAAAAGGTGTTTCAACTCTTCTTGTTGGGCCTAAAGTCCCCTTGTGACCTTTGGTCCCTAGACCTTGAATTCTGAAGTCTCTCCTCATCGGCCTCCACGGTAATCTCTACATGTGTGGCCGCCTCCACAAGGCAATCATAATTCCGGATCATGTTCCCGGCAACCTTGAACAAAATTTTCATCCTGAACTTCTTCTCAAACTCAATGCAACGACGTTCTTCCGTCGCCACTAACTCCGGTGAAAACCGGGACAAACTAGAAAAGGTCGCTTCGAACTCGGCCACGAACATATTAAGTTGCTTAAGGTCTTGGAACTCTTGCCTCAACCTCTCCCTAGCAATGGGAGGTAGGTACTTGTCTTGGAAGGCCACCACGAATGCCTCCCATGTCGGTTCAATTCGGCCCTTAGCAGAAGTCCACCATTGGCCTGCGTCCCCCTTGAGATAGCAACTTGTAAGAGTCACTCTAAGTTCACTGTCCTCAATGTGAAGCATCTCGAACGTCATCACTGTCTGTTCGAGCCATTCATCCGCTTTCTTTGGCTCAGGGCCACCATGGAATTCATCCGGCTTGGCCCGCAAAAACTCCCTCATGAGGAAGCTCGCCCTTGTCTCCACGGCGTTCTCCCTAGCTTGGCTCTCCACCCTCAAAATGTTCATGGACTCCCTCAATGCCCCCGCCATTTCCCGGGCTAGGGCCCCCATCGCGGCTTGGCCCTCTTGCCCCGGTACCTTCGCTTGCCCCACTTGCTCGGCCATGTTAGCTTGGCCTAAACCCTCTTCTTGCATCGGTATCTTATGAACCGGTACTCCATGCCCACCCTGGCGGCCCCTTCCACGTCTTCCGCCTCTACCACCACGACTTTGAACCCTTCCTGACATCCTAATTAAGGAACAAGATAGATAATTTAGCACATAATTTCAAATGTGCTCACAACTTGCCTCACACGTTAAACTATAACAATTATATACATTCTAACACACAAACAATTCAATTCACTCCATATAAGCATGTAGCCATGTAAACACATACGAATTATCCTTTAGTGATGAGATGCGTCCCATGAGAAACCAAGAATTCTTAGTAGAAGGAGTATTGATCAAGTACCCCTCTAATAAGACCTCAAAGAATCTAATAGGCACAAATAACATCCCAAAAGTCCAATCTCATACCCATATAGTCACATAAGCATGCTATCACATAATCACAATTAAACAAAACATTTCCTAATCATGCGAAATGAACCCATTGTGGTATAGCAACCACTTCCCGCGAGCCCCAAGTATTCAAACCCGGTAGCTCTGATACCAAGTTGTAACGCCCCAAAATAATTCAACATGAACTACCCACGTTAATTAACATTCACTAAACCATGACAATACACCTCCCATCCTTGCATAATCAATAAGAGAGTTTATACAAAAGTTTCACATGCAGATATACATTTAATGATAACATTGCACATGAATCTATAGCATGTGAAGCACCTAATCTCAAAACAATAAAATACCATTAAGGGCTTACATCTTCCAAGGCAATAGCCCGATTACAAAAAATGGTCTCTCGGACCCATACACATTTAGCCCTTGGTTTTACAAAATTTATAACAAAATAATAGAGTTATTTACTCTTCACAACAATATCCACACCCTCAGTTCGGCGGGATCACCACATCTTTACCTGCACCAAAATCCCATAGGGTGAGCATAAAGCCCAGTAGAGAATTCTCACAAAGTATATAAAGTTATGCAAATTCCCTCAACAACTAAAAATGCAAAGGTAATGCCATGTAAATGCCAATAATAAAGAGGAATTTCATTTCAATGCACAATTTGAAAATTTCCATGTTCTCAATAATATTTTTCAATTTCATCAATTTCAATGCACAATTTGAAAATTTCCATGTTCTCAATAATCTCTAGGTTGGTGTCTGCAAGTAAGCTCTATGAGCTCTACCAATACCCCACTTTACCAGTTGCTAACCGAAAGGGAAGTGGTACCTCCTCCACGCGTGTTTTCGGTCTTTCACCCCAGACATTCAAGCCAACTTATCAATCTCATCTACACCGCCTAACCGGACTTACCAACGTATTTACCCCTTTAACATTTCCGTAGATTTCATTTCAATATAGCATTTCTCAATGTGAATGTTTTCTAACTCATGTCAAGATGTACAATAATAACAATAATTTAAATGAGAGTATGATACAACAATTTAACATTTCATAATATTTCTTCATTTTTCCTTCTTCCAATGCCATCTCATAAAGTAACTACATGCTCAACCGATGCTATCAACACATAGCAAAAACCTCTCATCATGAACATTTCTCAACATTCTAGCCATTCCAAGACTATATGAAATTTTCAAACATCAACTTCCAAGTTTTCAATTCTCAAAATCCATGGTGCTCAACAATTATTATCTCACAACATTACAAGTTCAAGTGCTAGCAACAATGTTAAAATAACATCTCATTTCTCATCTATCAAGTATATTGCTGTTTTGCTAAACATTTGATGAAACTTACTCTTATTCACCCTCTTGACACAAGAAAATAAGAATTCAAAGCATATTTTCTATTTTTCCAAAATCCCCAATTTCTAGGGTTTTTCTTTAAGACAAAACACTTCTCATTTCCTTGGTAAAACCCAATTAAATTCACTTTCCTCAGACTTTATTAATGAATAACCATTAAGGAGTGACAAGGGTTGAGTTTTGAAAACCCACATTTGAAACTCTCTACCTTTATAATGAAAATGTAAAATTAACACAGAACTTCAAGAAAACCTTTAAATCATCAACAATGTAGCAAAACATGTATATATAACTCAAGAATGTCCCTACCTCAAGGCCTTGATGATGAAGAAAAAGAAACCCTAGCTTTAATGGAGGATTCTTCAACACTCACTATGCCAAGAGGAGCCCTAGTTTGATCTTCAAGATTAGAGGAAGATGATGATGATCTTGACTCAAGATTTTCAAGGATCAAAGTATTTTGGTGTTTGAGGAGGTGTTCTAGAGAGGAGGAGGAGGAGGAAAATAGGGTTTAGAGTGAGAGAGGAATGTCAAAAATAAGATACACATTCGGACCAAAAAGAAAAGAAAAAAAAACAGAGTTTCGGACTGCCTAGGCTGCCATACATGTAGAGCGCCCCTTCTCGCACGTGCGGCCTTCGTCCCCGTATGTGCGGTGGCCCTCTGCCGCACCTTCCTCCGCACCTGCCTTTTAGGCAGTGTGCAGCCTCCCATCTCCCCTGAAATTCGCACGTGCGGCCTCACACCCCGCACGTGCGGCCGTAAGTCCCCGCACTTGCGGCTAGCCAAGCAGCCTAGAAAAATTTCTAGCTCAACCCCCGGCACTTCGGACCTGACCTCACGCTCCCCGGGAATAAAGGAACTTCAACACCGAATAAAACAAGAACAAGGACTTTGTTTGGGAATAACCTCCAAACGTTTCAAACTCAATGAGAGCGAGAAGGGAACGGAATGAAGAAGAAAGTAAAAGAGAGAAAAACATGACCCGATCATCACACCATCTCTTCATCAATCATATTGTACACATCTAGTAGTGCTTGATAACATAGCTTCATGTACTCTGGAAGTTAATCTAAGGCACTGCTTTCCCACCTGAAAATCAAATAGCCTATGAAGAGATTTTTATTCTTCTATGTTATCAAATCCAAAGATCACGAAAAGAATGAATCAATTCAAACCTCTCAACTGCGTCAGTGAAGAGTTCAAGTTCTTCCAAGGTACCATAGGCATTATAGATGTCATCAATAATGGAAGTCAAGGCGATTACTTTGGTTAGTATCCTTCTAGCTAGAAAATATTGGGGCTCAAAGTATACTCCCAATATCCAAAAGTAGCACTCCACCAATCTATCTCTTGCAAAAGGTAGTTTCTTTGCAAAGTCCAAATCTTTCCACCATCTAAAATATTTACCCCATGAATCAATTTGACTAGATAGCTCGACTTGATTAACAACAACGTTACATACACTGCTGGAAAATAGACTTTTAGAGGCATTTAAAAAATGCCACTATAGCTATCAAAAAAGCCACTAATTGTTTTTGTGATGTTTAGTACCAAACGTCGAAGATGCAGCCGTCGTTGTAACTTTATGACGCTTTAAAAACGTCATTGTATTAGTATAGGCGGTGTTTTTTAAAACGCCACTAAATGTGCTACATAACAGTGCAATGATGTCACGCCACATTTAGCGATGTTTTAAAAACGCCGTGATAGATCTTTTCTATTTTAAAAATATAACCGTTGACATTATTCTATAGTGGCGTTTAAAAACGTCGTTACAGCTTCATTTGTTTGTTTTTTTTTTTTTTTTTTTTTTTTTTGAAATTATGCTAATTCTATGAAATTTAACTAATCTGTGAAATTTAACTAAAAAAAATATCCGTAATAAAGATGAAAAACATTCAATATATTGACTAAATTTAGGTAAACATAATATTGGATCAACTCATGCTTCTCAATATGCAAAAATATTTCAATTTTAAGATGAAATAAAGTTAAACTAGTGCCTAGTGGTAAGTTGAAAGTTATTACAAAACAGATCGGCACAAAAGATGCAATTCAAACTAATTATACATACAAGTACTATGAAAGCTTCTACCAAGAAAAAAATTCCCAGGTTTTTCTATTGGCCCAATCAAAGAAATGTCTGAAAGATCATTGGAAAAATAAAATGAGATATGATGTACACTCTTCAATTTAGTCATGAGCTACCAAAATCGCTGCTGCAACTCTCTTCAATGATTCAGAGGCCTTGCGCAGATCAGACTCAGAAAATGGAATGTTGCAGGGAATAAAAGTTACATCAGAATTATATATGAAAGGTGAAATCAAAACAATAAACTACTTACTAGATAATAGTAGTATAAATTCATAGTATTAAGTACTAAATAATTATTTAAAAGAAAACCAATTCACTCACATAATTTGGGAAGATAACCATATCAACATTCCCAGGCACCTATGCTAACTGCACATAGAATAATATTAAGAACAAACACAACAACTTTTAACTGCACATAGAATGAAGAATATACCTTTATAAAAAAAGCTGTCAAAATTTCATAAATACCAAAGCCAGCAAGAGCACCTAAAATCCTTCCCAACATTAACCACCCAAAACCACTATACAAACCTACAATGTTCATTGAAGAGAATATTCATTTAACTAGCAGTAATAAACAAGAATCATAAATAACTTAAGCTCACGTGTAGCTGTTAACCTTATCTACATGACTCATTGCACTAATGGAAGCTCAAGCAAAACAATAAGTTAATCGAATTACCTGCATTTTCTGATAAAGTTTTAACTCTATCAAGAGCCTGAGCTGTAGTCAACTGTTTATTAGAAACTGACCCTACCTGTTATTTTCTCCACCATAACAAATAAGCATCAATATTAGAAACAGATAGTCATATGCAAACAAACAATTCCAAAATCAACACCAACATGCATACACACACACATATGAGCATAAAAATGCAGACAGAAGTTGGTTTCAAACTTTGAACCTATATAAGGACTTTGATAGTATCAAGATGGTAAGTGAGGGTAGTGCCTAATGTGAATGAACCTGCAGCAGCAACTGCATGTGTAGCAAAAATCTGGTTCTTCGTCAGTTCTTCCATCTAAAAGATTTGCACAAATGTCAAAAACAACTAGGCAGTCCACAACCTGAAACTGAAGTTCTGAAGAGTCTTTATATTAGATTCAAACAGTTTTTTGGAGATCCAATTTCTTCTATCTTCATATGGTTACAGAAAAGTACCGTCAAACCTCAATGCATACATTGAGCACTCGCAATATGTAAATACAGAAAAAAATATTAATCATAATTCTCAATGTAGTTTTCAACAGTTGGTAATCGCTGAAAACAAAGAGAATCAAACTACCAATCATGTTAAAATGATGTGGCAACATCATGAACAGCCCGAAACAGATGATGCTATATGGAGGTGTTCAACAAAAACGTATAATAGACAATTTATAAATAAAAAATATGTCAATTATACCTGTGATATATCTCTAATTTCAATCTAGTTATGTAGTTTCAATTTTACCAATTTCATCCATTAATTTATTAAATTGGGTCAATTTAGTCCAATTTATAACCTATATTAAGAAATTGGATAGATATCAAACAAAAAATGGCCCATTCAAAAGGGACTGGATCATTTCAAATTGGACATAAATCCCAGTTCACTTTGAAAGCTGCTACAAGATCTTCATTCAAATTCATCTGCACAGTTTACACAGATTTATTTGAAGATCCAAAGATGTCCTGTTTCTGCAAACCCTTTAAAAAAACAAGATTAATAAGATTTTAAGGTAAGCATGGCAAAGACAAGATACATGAAACATAATCTCCAGAAAACCAGGAAGCAGAGCAAATGGACATTTAAAATATGGCCAACAGATATCCAAAAATAATCATCGCATAATGTCAAGGTTGCTCGTCAATAAGTAGGGAGAGATTGAAAGAGCATTACCCATAATTTAGAATCAAACAGATGAAAACAAGAAGTGCTTCTAAAGCACAGTGAAAGCAGCTATTACTTGCAATTTAGAACGAACTTTGGTTAGGAAGATTAGAAAGCCAGCCATGCTCTTCAACCCATTCTCACTGCAACATGCATTATGTATATCTAAAATATGATGTTGAGATGAATAATTAGCATGACAAGAAATAAAACCACACACACAGGGGGAAAAAAATAACTCATTCACAAGAACTTAATAGAGTACGGAAGAAAAATTAGCTAGGATGGTTTACTCATGTACAGTCATAGCCTCTAAATGCACCAACACAGGAAGGAATTTGGAAAGGATGACAGGAAGGCAAAAAAGAAAATGGCCTAAGTGAAGCACATAGTTGTCATTACGAAGGGCAACTCTGGTTGATGGTGTGAGCTTTGTTATATCTATGCTCTTATCGATATCAACAACGTATTTCCCTTCTGGATGAACCTGAAAAGTCAACAAAAAGATAATCAGTCAACTTATTTGCAGTTGTAGGTCACAAACTAACATGTGGAAAAACAAATTGCACAATTAAATAATAGGAATTATGGAACTCAGAGAAACTGCTGCTATATTCCCCCCACGCCCCAAGAAAAATAAAAGAGATGGAAAATCAAGAAATTCAGTAATGAACCTATCTCCAAAACATATGGACGGCTAAATAGGTAGAGAATTTCAAACAATTTCTAAAGTGATTAAAGAATAGGAATATGATGGTAGCCAATTATAGTCCCATCGGAGGAAAAATGCCAACACATAGTGGTATTATCTTATTTAAAAGCATTAACATGCACAGGTGTTGATGGACACTTAATTGCACAAAAAAAATGTAGCTCAAATAGCAGTTGCCAAACAATAGTTACAAATCTTTTCAAATGTAATTTCATTGAACTGCTTTTAAGTTTTTAGATAAGATAACTAACTCATTTGCTGCAATATTTAAAAAATACCATAAAAACATTTTTATCATCATTTTAAAAATACAATTTAATCAAAAATTAGAATTGTGGATATGATCGCTTTCATCTAATCAAAATTAGAATAATGGATATGATCACAAACAGAAGTGTTGATAGCCTAATAATATCTTGTAAAGTTGTAACTACATAAAATCAATGTACAAACAAAACATTATATTACATGCTACAGAGACTGAAATATGCATAAGGATATAGTCAATAAACTACTTTCCCATTTTGAACTATCAATAGTGGTAAAACTGAATGTTGTTGACAAATTCTTTCACCATCACATTGAGCATCAAATCCACAAAACAAATATATTTTCATTCCATACTCATATACAAGCTGATATTTTAGGGTCCCTTTATAAATCCTTTCTTACCTAATTCATGAATTGGTTTTCTAATGTACTATCTCAAATGAAATGTTAACTACACAATCAAGGTAATAGGCATGCCAAAAAAAACCAGTAGTTGAGCTTAAGCCTCTCATTGACTAAAACATTGCGAAACTTCCTCAACCCAAAAATCAATCTTGTGTTGTGTATTGCAGAGCATGGTTTATACATTATTCTCTGGGCACCGTTATTGAAATAAAATAAGTCTAAAAAGGACCATTGTTATTATACATCCACAAATCTCATCCACTAATAGAACTTAAGAGACCAGTGCCTAAGCTGCTTGTTGCATTCATCCACTAACTATTCCTCAAAAAAATTATCCATTAGGCACAGATACCATCGCCATATCAACACCATGCCTTTTCACACAACTCAACTAACATTTTTGCTACACTTCTAAATATGCACTTGGAGTCAAATATTGTGAAAACCAAGTTGTCAAGTACAAATGTTACGACTCATAGATCTAAAGAGAGAGAGAGATCTAGAGAGAGAGAGAGAGACGGTAGAGCTCGCTACCTCACCGGTGCAGATGACGGTGGCGACGGAGCTTCGAAATCACTCTGAATCTCAAAATCGATCTGAATCTTCGAAATCGCTCTGAACAACCGATTGATATCGATCTGAATCTTTGAAATCGCTCTGAACAACCGATGGAGCTTGTGTTCTTTGAAGCTCTCTTCAAGAACAGCCGATTGATCTTTCGAGAGGCGAAGCTTCTTCCTAGAGTTATGTCCTCTGTCTTCTTTGTCGCTGAGAGAGAGAGAGAGAGAGATGTGTGCGTATAAGATAAGAGAGATGTATGCGCATAAGAGAGAGAAAGGGCTCAAATTCAAGAATAAGGGTTTCAAAAAGGGGGCGCATGTATCTACCGCATTTGGTGGCGTTTTTTAACGCCTTTAGTTACAAAACAGTGCCGTTTTGGTTAAAAAAATATACGACGGTTATAAAACGCCGTTAAAAATTAGAAAACGTGACGTTTAATAAAACGTCGTTAATTAAACGCCGTTAAATTCCTAATTTCCTGTAATGATACCCAAGAAAAATATTCCCAAAAAAAAAATGTTCAGAATTTTAAATATGTGGATAAAAAAAGTGCCCAATTTAAATTTATACCAATTTTTTTTTTCTTCTCTCCAAATAGCATAGCCTTTATGACTGATTAAAGAATTCACTTGTGATTTCGCTTAGCTCCCACTGGTGCTTTTTTTACAATAGGTTGAAATCTAATTTGGCAAAATTCAGTAGAACTTCATTATGGGAATCATCTTGTTCATAGTAGAATATGTAATGGCTTGACTCTAGCCTCGTGAAGCCATAATGGATGGACTGATTCAGAGCATGAATTACTTGTTCTTTAAGGCCATGTTTGATTCACAACACTAATAGTGAGGTATTAATAATCCTATTAAATTAGTGTGGTATTAGTTATCCCACCCCTACCCCATTACTAATAATCTTACAAATTTGTTGGATTAATTATCCATTGGATTAATAATCCTAAACCAAAATGTCAAAACAAACATAGGATGATTGGGCCCACGGATTAATAATCCCAATCCTATGCTTTAATCCTTCCAATCAAACATGCCCTAAGAGGATTGCTCAAGTTGGGTATTGCGCACTTAAGGTGAGTGGTGGTAAAAACCAGGGCTTCATCTAGTATCTCTTCTCCTCGCATCCTGAGATGTGTCATATTTTTTATGTCAAACTTAGAGTTTAACAATCTCTTAGTATTTTTAATTATCTCATCATTACTACCAATAATGAGTATGTCATCAACGTATAGACACAAAATGATATAATCTCTGTTAGTGTCTTTGATATATACGCATTTGTCACACTCATTGATTTTGAACCCATTTGACAACATAACGTTATCAAACTTCTCATGCCATTGTTTAGGCACTTGTTTCAAACCATACAATGATTTGATAAGCTTACAAACTTTCTTATTTTGCCATGCCAAATGAGAGCTAATTACAAAATTTGAATAGTTAATTTGAAATTTGCAGTGTGAGTGTGATTTCAACAAATGTGCAAATATTCCAAAGCCACACCAAAATTGAACCATTTTTTATTTTTATTTTTGTTTTCATCCAACATTTTCCTTCTTCTTTTGTGGATCTGAAAGTTCCACAATGTGATTGATTTGATTTTTACGAACGAGACAATACAGCCTCGTAAGAGGCAAGGCTGATCTAAAGCAACCATATGATAATGAGTTTGTTCGGTGTATATATAGTTTAAAGTCATAAGTTACAAAGAAAAATGAGTCAGACTCTCAAAATCTAAACCATTTTTATTTTTTTATTTTTAGGACGATCTGGACCATTTATATGTACAAATGGACCATTTGTGTGTGTGTGTGTGTGTTTTTCCTATCTCTATCACATGAATAGTCCAAATCATTTTAGGGGTTATAGGGGTCTCTAAATTTAAGGGTCTCAATCATTATTGTTATTAGTGGGTGTTTGGAACCTATTTTTCATAATAAAAAAAAATTCTAAATTTTCTAATTTTTAGTATTTTTTTAAAATTATGTTAAATTTTTTTTAAAATTTTTGGCCCATCCTGTGTAGACAAATCTTAAAAGTAAATAAATAAATAAATAAAAATCCAAGAAAAATAAATAAATAAATAACCAATTTTTTTTTTCTTTTCTAAATTTTTTATTTTTTTTACTTTTTCAGTCCGTCTAATTGAGTAAAATCCAAAAAACTAAAGTTTTTTTTGAATTTTTTTTAAACAAATTACTAAATTTTTTTTTTTTTTAAAACTACAATAAAAACAAATCACAAACACCCACTTAAATTATTTCTACCTAACAAATACAAATTACACTTGATAATTTGAAGTTTCAAAATTTAAAATATATATATTATTATATGGGTAAATTACAAACACACCTCCTGATATTTGCTTAAATTACAAATAACCCCATATAGTTCTAAAAATTACATTATGTCCCTTAAGGTTTCTAATTTCATAACAAATAGGTCATTTTATTAATAAATCATCAAATTAATTAACAGTTTTTAATAATATTAAAATTTTACTTTAATTAATAATTCAGATAATTTTATTATTGTATAGGTGAACAGTTAGAAATTTCACTATTTCAATTAATTCTGTTAAATAAAAAATTCTGACAGTGAGGTATTTATAATTTTCCAAACTACATGAAATAATTTATATTTTAAACAAATCTCAAAGAATGCATTTGTAATTTACCCTTATTATAAACAATGTCACAAAGTTCGTCAAATGGGTCTAATATATGCAATTTGCCGAACCGCGCATAACAAATGAAGAAGCAAAACACTTGGGCAAGAAAAAAAAATGTTATAAGAAGTGCATTATTAAATATTTTACACAATATTTATATAGATGATTATTGTATAGAATATTTGATAATTTTTTTAAATTTTTTTTTTTTTTTTGAAATCCTTAGCATTGCTCAAATAAAAATGAATGATGTGACAATATCTTGAGTAGAAGAAGTTATTTGATGATTTTAAAATATTACTCTAAATCATTTATTATTTTACACATGTTAAATTATCTTTTTAAAACTGAACAAGCAAAAAATTAAATACCAAGATTTTACTTAATAAATATTAAAATAAACACCACATAAATTTGTTGGAAATTATGATTTTTTTTTATAGGCTTATTTTGAGCCAATTTTGAGATCAAATTTGAGTAGGCCCCACACATCTTTTGGGGTGAGTTCGAGGTGACGTATTCTTTGTTACATGGCAAATCACGCGGTGCAAATGGTTCGTTAAAACCATTTATGAGTAAATGGAAACTTAACATCGTTTTTGGGTTTGTGAAATAGTAAATTAAAGAGTCAAATGTGGGTTACCCTAAAATGGTTGTTCTATATTGAATCTTTAAGAGAGCTTGTGTGTGTATATAAGCTCTAGGTGGACAAAATTGGATTGGGCCTTAAGGGGCATCCCAAGTTTGTAGAAGGGAGAAGTTATAGACAAAGTGGGCTTTGGCTCAAACCATCACACACGCTACCATCGCTGCCATCCATCCAACAGGGCTCGAGTCAGTTCTAATATTAATTTATTTGAATTTTTTCCAAAATTCTTGCAGGAAAATTGTTTTTCTTGAACAAAATTAATTCAAATTTTACGTCAAATTAGAATTCAAATTTTCTGTCCAAATAGTGCCTCTTCCGGTCCATTTTCCAATAGATTTTTCAAGCTGTTTTAACAGATTGCACCGGACAGTATCATTTTCTTCCCAAAATTGTTTTCAAACAGATTTTTGCACCTGTTCAGTTTGAATTACACATCTTCAGTAAAGGCACCAATTTGCCTATAAAATCAAACCATCTTTCAACAAATTCAGAAAATTTGAAATTCTCTACTTGTTTTCTATTTTGCTCTCTTGCATAAGATATAGTCTACATATTAGTTTTAGGCAAAATTCTGAGAGTGTAGCACACAGGTTCTAGTTCGCTGAAACAGATTATTTTTAGTGCTAATACAATATGTGTAAGATCATTGTATCTTGGGAGATAGATACCATTTATCCGTAAGCACCTAAGCGAAGCGAATCTGTCTTAAGGACAGAGTGTCACACACTCGACTTGATCATTCTTGCTCTTAAAGTGTATAGGTAAATAAATTCCATAAGTAATTTATTTGATTTGTTTCAAGTTATTTTTTTCATACACAGAAGATTATTCTAACAAAATTTACCCCTGTTCACCAAATAATTTTCCCTTTGAGTAGACTCAGGTAGGTAGAGAATTTCAGACAATTTCTAAAGTGATTAAAGAATAGGAATATGATGGTAGCCAATTATAGTCCCATCAGAGGAAAAATGCCAACACATAGTGATATTTATCTGATTTAAAGGCATTAACATGCATAGGTGTTGATGGACACTTAATTGCACAAAAAAATTGTAGCTCAAATAACAGTTGCCAAACAATCGTTACAAATCTTTTCAAATGTAATTTCATTAAACTGCTTTTAAGTTTTTAGATAAGATAACTAACTCATTTGCTGCAATATTTAAAAAATACCATAAAAACATTTTTATCATCATTTTAAAAATACAATTTAATAAAAAATTAGAATTGTGGATATGATCGCTTTCATCTAATCAAGATTAGAATAATGGATATGATCACAAACAGAAGTGTTGATAGCCTAATAATATCTTGTAAAGTTGTAACTACATAAAATCAATATACAAACAAAACATTATATTACACGCTACAGAGACTGAAATATGCATAAAGATATAGTTAATAAACTACTTTCCCATTTTGAACTATCAATAGTGGTAAAACTAAATGTTGTTGACAAATTCTTTCACCATCACATTGAGCATCAAATGCCACAAAACAAATCTATTTTCATTCCATACTCATATACGAGCTGATATTTTAGGGTCCCTTTATAAATCCTTTCTTACCTAATTCATGAATTGATTTTCTAATGTACTATCTCAAATGAAATGTTAACTACACAATCAAGGCAATAGGCATGCCAAAAAAAACTAGTAGTTGAGCTTAAACCTCTCATTGACTAAAACATTGCGAAACTTCCTCAAGCAAAAAATCAATCTTGTGTTGTGTATTGCAGAGCATGGTTTATACAATATTCTCTGGGCACCGTTATTGAAATAAAATCAGTCTAAAAATGACCATTGTTATTATACATCCACTAATAGAACTTAAGAGACCAGTGCCTAAGCTGCTTGTTGCATTCATCCACTAA